GGTTCTATTCATAACTTCCATTTTATAGACAGAAGTGGCAGTAGAGGTGGTCAGCTTAAAGTGGAGTTAATACAAGGTTGAGTTAGTTCCTAATGGAGAAGTGACATTGGTGCTGGGAATAAATAAAAGTTGTAATGGATTTGATTTTTTTTTGTGTGTGTGGTACGCGGGCCTCTCACTGCCGTGGCCTCTCCTGTTGCGGAGCATAGGCTCTGGATGTGCAGGCTTCAGACGCACAGGCTCAGCGGCCGTGGCTCACGGGCCCAGCCGCTCCACGCCACGTGGGATCCTCCCGGACTGGGGCACGAACTTGTGTCCCCCGCATTGGCAGGCGGACTCTCAACCACTGCGCCACCAGGGAAGCCCTGGATTTGAATTTTGGCATTTACTGCTTGGTGGTGGCAGGGTTAGTGATTTCCTCATCAGGGCACTTCCGGAACATTATTATTTTTTTTTTTAAAAAAGAAGATGTTGGGGGTAGGAGTTTATTAATTAATTATTTATTTTTGCTGTGTTGGGTTTTCGTTTCTGTGCGAGGTCTTTCTCTAGTTGTGGCAAGCGGGGGCCACTCTTCATCGTGGTGTGCAGGCCTCTCGCTATCGCGGCCTCTCTTGTTGCAGAGCACAGGCTCCAGACGTGCAGGCTCAGTAGTTGTGATTCACGGGCCTAGTTGCTCCGCGGCATGTGGGCTCAAACCCATGTCCTCTGCATTAGCAGGCAGATTCTCAACCACTGCGCCACCAGGGAAGCCTGATACTATCTTTTAATAAATTACCTTTCTGTTTAATTTAGCCAGAGTGGATTCTGAATTCTGATAAGCATGCACTGTTCACATGTCTACATAGGGGCAAATGTAAAGTTTACTTGCATTCTAAAATTGCTACCTAGGGACTTCCCTGGTGGTCCAGTGGCTAAGGCTCCGCTCTCCAATGCAGGGGGCCCAGGTTTGATCCCTGGTTAGGGAACTAGATCCCACATGCATGCTGCAACTAAGAGTTTGCATGCTGTAACTAAAGTTCCTGCATGCTGCGAAGAAGATCCTGTGTGCCACAACTAAGACCTGGTGCAGCCAAATAAATAAATAAATAAATATTTTTAAAAAAGAAAAGAAAGAAAAAACTGGTACCTAGGGGTGTTTTTGATTGTTTGTTTCTTTTTTTTTTTTTTTTTTTTTTTTTTGTGGTTCG